TTTTATTATATCCTAGGATTTGCACTAAGTACTTTCATACATACCAATTTTACTGTGAAATTGGTGTTTAGTTTTTTCTTTTACACACACACACACACACACACACACCACTTCCTGAGGGGGGTACAACACTGATTAAGCAATGCTTTAAATAGTTGATTTCTCTGTTGTTTTGTTTTAGTCATTTTAAAAGGAAGAGGATCTGTCTTTTAAAGACTGTCTACATTAAATGGAGACTAAGGCCAACTTGATATGTGTGTCTTACTTTAGGAAAGCCACTTGAGTGGTGTTCCTTTGATAATGTAATTGCAGTTGGTTCTTGTTATTTGTGGTAGTTATGTTCTCTAAAGTCATGCAAAAATTAAGCCATTGTTCTGAGAAGAAATATAGGATTAGGTTCTTGGAATTCTCTGATCATGTAGTATGTACCTTTGTGTTATACAACTTATTTAATAAATACTGTTGGTTCATTAACGTTGAACTCAGGGGCAAGGGCAGTATGACTTATGCCTAAATGAAGCTTATCATCTAACACACGTATTTTCTTCATAAGGTGCAGCACACCCTTCTTGTGCTTAGAAACACTGGACAGCACTTAAGTACTTGCTTGGGTAGGGGTACATTTTAAAGGACAAAATTGTCAACAAAAGGCACAAAAAATGAGAAACATGGTACTAAATAGACTGCAAAAAAAACACTCATTTGTAGTAAAAGAACTAAAACAAGAAGGTATCACCTTGTTCAGTCTCAACTGAATACAGGTGCCCCCAATTTTTGCTACACTGTGGATGTCCATGAGTAACTGAGAAAGCTCTAGGGACACTGATTTTGGACTTACAAATAAATTTTGTCCGGTAGGAAAATTCACAAATATAAAATCAGAGAATAATGAACATTAACAGTATCAGGAAAGGTTCCCACTGATGTAAGGAAAGAGTACAATAAAATCCTCTGTGGACTGACAAAATCCATCATTCCTGAAAACCCCTTTGGATGCATATCTAGTATTTGGAGAACTTTTGCATATTTGCAAGTTTCCTTTGTCCAAAGAGCTTGTTGAAAACAAGGAAATACAGAAGTCCATTCTTCCCTTGTTGTGCTTCAACGTTATTAAGATTTAGCCTACCAATAGCTAGTGATGTCAATGGAACTTGCCTGGCAGGACATTTGGAAAAGTTCTTCATAGGATAATTTACGTTTGGAACATTAAAATCCTTGTTTAACAAGAAAGAGGAGTCAACTCTGAAGAGAGTAGTTGAGACTGGTACCTCCTGATAGAGTCACACTGGTACTGGGGCATGCTGTAGGATGACCAGGTGAAGGTAAATGAATCCTAGCTGCGACATCCAAGATCAGGGAATTTTCCCCCAGAGTATATAGCATTTCAGGAATGGGATAGATTTCCCTATTAGGATCTTTGCAGGCTTCTGAAGAGTAGGAGAACTCATTGAATTCTTTTAGTTTACTTTTGAATTACTGACCACAATTTTCTACTTCTACCAACCAAGAGTTTTGACTGAGTTTTTGATGCCTGCATCTTATTTCTGGGAATATCCATGGCAATTGTTGCAGATTTCTTTTCTTCTTTGGATAGTGAGAATTATCTGGTTGCAGAATCTATTATCTTTATCAGATTTTCATTCTATCCTTTCTTTTCTTTCTCTACTGATACTATAATTTTTTTGAATGTCTGGTACATGGTCTTGGGTCTCCTTCTTGGTGATCCCTTTCACTCCGATGTTTTAGATCTATGATTTTCTCATAACTAGGTCTCTAGGGCCTGATCTCTTTTCTCAGTTCCTGTCTCCATACAGAACCAAATACTCTGCATCTCAGTTTGAATAATTAGGAGGGATTTGAAACCAAAGCTATCCAAAATCAAACTTTCTGCATATCTCTCTTCCTATTTCTGCTACCTTAGTTAAAAACATCACCATTCACCCAACTGCTCAAAACCAAAACAAACAACAAAAAAACTAGCAGTAATTCTTAATTTCTTTTTTTACTTCATCCATCAAACCATCACCATCACAAAATTCCATCAGTCTCCAAAATGTGCCCCAAAGTACCCATTTCTCTCCATCTCCACTGCTACTACCTTGATCCTAGCCATCAGGATTTCTCCCTGGGGTGATCCCAGTTGAGCCTAGCCCAGCTCATCTGCTTTCATTCTCTCTTGCCTCCTTCTACCAAACATACAAAAGTTATTATTTTTTTAAATTTTCATCATATTACACCTGTGTTTACAGCTTTCAAATGACTCCAGTACATTCCTCAGCTACCACTTTCTCAGTGAGGTATTTCCTCACTGTTTTTTCTACTGATGCCTGTCCCCTTAAGTCACTGTTTCTCACTCTACCACTTCATTCTCTTTATCATTACTAATTTCTATTTGTATTGTTTTTAAAAATTCTTTTGTTGATTTGGGTATTATCTGTTCCTGTGCTAGAACATAAATGGGGGGTGGTTGACTTTCTTGTTCAGGGGAGGGCCACAGAGCCTTAGCACATTGCTGGGAAAACAGCTGCTTGAATGAGTGAAAGAAAATCTTTTAAGGAAGCTCAACACTTGAAAAAGGAGCTACTGTTATATATAACAAATTGGAATAAAAAATTTTAAAACAATTTATTTATTTAAAAAAATTTTAAAAATAAAAAAAGGAGCTCAGAGCAAAGCTGCAATGGTTGAATGGGAAGAGCTGGGGTGGTGAGGTCACGCCCACTTAGCTCTCTTTCGTCCTGCTGCTCCTGAGGCTTCTTGGAAACCAGGAGTGGTGGGGAGAGGGGACAAGTCAGCAAACTGCAGCTTCCTTGGTCAATAGTCTTTAAAATCGTTGTTTTTAAATTGCTGAAATAAATCAGTAAAAACTGTAGCACTTAACTCCAATGTCTATTCATGGCTGTGTACATTCTTTGAAAAACCTCTTCCTCCTAAACAAACAAACAAAATTCCCTTTGCTGCAGCCAAATCATCTTTGTTGGATACTTTTGTGATAGGCACTTGAGGCTGTCACCAACCTTCAACCTAACTAGCAAACACTCTCCAAAAGCTGGTAGTCACTAACATTGGAAAAACAAATTATTAGCATGGTGCTGTTTTCTGGGATTGAGTTATTTATGTTAGTATTGAAATATAAACAATTTAACTCCCAGGAAGTAGTCTGGTTTAGAAAATTGCATGTAACAAGTTTCTTATTTGAAATATTGAAAAAAAAGGAATGAATAATTTTAAGAAAGGAAATTAATTTCTTCCATCATCCAAAAATAATGAACTTAAAAAAAATGATTTTCAAGGCCACCTTTCCCCAAGTATGCATATATCTTGATCTTGCCTTGAATAAATGCATGATATTCTCAAAGGAATATGTCTCATTTGACAAAACCCATGGTACTCCTCCAAGCCATAATGACACATGAATCCTGGACAGATGGCTAAACTCTCTTACAAGCCCCAAAGCTCTATTCAATTTTTGCCTTAATGAAAGAATAATCACTTTAGATTGTAAACTTCCTGGTTGCTCTTGAGAAGCTCATATTTAGGATGAGAAACAAAAGATTTTCAAGGTATTTTTTTTGGTATTGTAGTTTATGTATAGCTTCGTGTTAAAATTATAATTACATATTTTCAAATGATTTCTTAAGTACTGTAGCTATAAGAATAGAATGATAAGTTCTGGAAAACAGATTCATGTTTTGTAAGCATAGGCATGATACCAATATTGATTTGTTGACAGTTGAAAGTAAAGAAAGAAAAGGAACCCAGAAAGGGCAAATCCTCAGTATTAGGACTTTTCAGCTCAAGACACGAAAAACCCATTTCAAACTGGCTTAATCCTTAAAAAGGCCTTTACTGACTCAGAACTGAAACACCCAGGAACTGGCTTCAAACACAGTTGGAATTGAGGGCACAAGGCGTGTAACCGTGTTCAGTTTTTTCCATCCTTTAGCTTTTCTGGTATTTTGATGACTTGATTCTCAGCTCTACTTCACAGGGCCTGGCTCAACTATTTTTACCACATACTCTGTGAATGGAAATAGCAAGTACCTCCTCCTCACCTGTCCTAGCAAAAGTGTCAGGGGGTCTTATTGACTATCCCTGAGCCAGTCATTGAAGCCTGAAGAACATCACAGATCAGAGAGGTCCAAAAAGAACTAGAACCCAGCCTTATGTAGACCAAAGTTACAGGACAGGGACTCAGCCCCAGGGAAGGACACGATTCAGCTACTGCACCTGGGGGCAAAACTCTGTGAATTTGGACCAGTTTCTTCATCTCTCTGAGCCTCATTACTTTGTGGATAAAAATGTTCAGTTCATAGTGTGAGGATTAAATAAGACAACATAAATAAAGGACCTAACATAGCAATAGAATCTCAATAAGTTTTAAAGATGAATTGATTATTATTCTGTTTGTATTTTGGCCTGAATCCAGTCATTACATAAGCAGCAATGTCCACTGATAGCACTAGGTGGCAATCGTGTGATGGAAGGTAATGGACAGGCTTTTTGGCCACTGGAAAATAAGAATTGGCTGATCCGACAATTGGCAGTTGCAGGAATGCATAGGGGACAGAGTCCAATTCCTGCTGCACTGAAACCAGACTGTGTGACCTTGAGCAAGGTCTGGATTGATCTGTGGCCTGGATTTCCTCAAGTAAAACTGGAGTCTGATTCTCAATTTGGCTTTAAAATGTTCTTTTTTATTCTATAAAAAGAGAATTTTCTATTTTATAGCAATTGTGACTATAATCTCAGGAGCCAAAAACTGTCCAACAGTCTTGGTTGTTAATATACATTGTTTTAAAATATGGTCACATGAAACATAATCCATTCATTTATTCTTAAATTGTAGCTATCCTAGGAGGCCTAAAAGAGTTCATGTAATTTTGTAAGGTGACTAATGGGCCCAGAGAGAAGCTCTCCAGTTATACACAGCTCAGAAAATCATCCTTTGAGGCATGCAATTCAGAAACCTCACTATTAAAAAAAGTCATACTGAGCAGGCTTTAAAAGTATTTCTCAGTCATGTAATTATGTTTTAATGCCAGGTTCTTAAAATGACTTAGAAAAGAAGAAGCAGCTCTGAAAATTTTAGGTCTGAAATGTGTTAGAAGTATCTGGAGCAGCAGGAGGATGCATCAGGAAACGGGTGACATTTAATAGGGCTTAAGAATGAAAATGATGACTCTCCACTTTCACATAAATGAAACCTCTATATCAAAGTTGAAATTAGATGATATGATAAAAATTGGCATTTACCTAGTGTAATATGATGGTATTTTCTTATTATGAAATTCTTCAGTGCAAGGAAGTTACGTGCTGGTCCTGTCTCACTCCGTATAAAACTCCTTGCACAAGGAGATCCAATTGAAATTCCACGGGTGTTCACACTTTTCTTCATTCCATGGAGATGTGGAACAGCCTAGTCTGAATACTTGACCTTTATTTCTCAGCATGCTCTTTTTTTTTTCCCCAGGACAAAGCCTTCTGAATTCTTAAACCTGGAAGGTGGAGGTGAGAATTTGCTGGTGAGATGTGGATCAGGTAAGTTCTCAGGTTTTCTTTATATTTTATAAATCCAGACTGTGCTTTACATATGCTTATAAAGGGGGAAAAAAGAGATAGTTAATTAGGGTATTTAATTGTTTCTTTAGTCCCTCCCCCACCCCAGAGAGGAATGTGAAAGAATGAGAATGGTTTTGTTTTTATCTAATTTCTAATTTAAAGGGGGTAGGCAGGACCAAAAGCTCCTTTGCCTCCAACTGGCACTATTTTTTTTTTTTAGTGGTGGTGATGGTCATGGGGATTGAACCCAGGACCCCGTGTATACTAGGCAAGAACCCTAACACTGAGCTAACATCCCCAGCCCTCTGAGTAGAATGTTGAGGTGTCTGAGAAAAAAAAAATCAAGTTTCTTTGAGGAACCTGAAGGACTTAAGACACAGCCTGCCCCAGAGTTTCTGATTCAGCAAGTCTGGGATGGAGTCCAGAACTGGAATTTCTAACCCTAAGTCTCCCTTGAATGCTGATACTGCAGGCTAGGACCCACCCACTGAGAACTACTGCTTTCAGGTAAGGGATCTTCCTGGCAACCTGGAAACCTCCTGGTCTCTCTGGAGCTTGAGATCTGAGCTCAATGCTAGGGTTGTGCTGGAGGGTGTCTCTGTGTGTGGGTAGGGGATAGCTGAATGTATTTGTCCAAGGAGCAGGCAAGATGTTGAAATGGAAGAAAGTTGCATCTACCCAAAGGCTGAGAATCAGTGCCCTTTCCTTAGAATGCTCCAGGCTTTACTGAGCCTGCTTCAATCTTCCAGTGGGCTTGAAGAGAAGCGGCTTGGTCAGAATCAGGTGAGCCAACCTCCTCAGATTAAGCCTAGGACAGTAAGGATACACACACCCACGGTACATTAAAAGGCTTGCTTCTTTCTGGGCACCAACTAAGCTTTCCAAATTTTTATGTATGCCCAGGGATAAGGAAGGGAGACAAATAACTAAGATCGAATTTCTTGCCAATTCAGTGGCATTAGGGATGGCAGTCAGATTTAATTTGAAGAAAGTAATTAGATTTTTCTTGCCTATCCAACTTAAGAGTCAATGCCATACCTACGACACAACTTTCTGGCTTATCACACACAATCCACTTATATTTATATTTGTGAACTCAAACCCAGTTCTGCCTCTGCCACAGCTTTGTGTTCTCTTTGTTCTCTGTGAGGGTAGGCAGGGCTTATAAACTGTGTGACCTGGAAGTGTCCTGCTGAGTGGGCACACTGGGGCTGGAACCCAGCCAGGCTGTGAGGAAAGGGTGACTTTCTATGATTTTTCTAATGGTTACAGGTAACTCCTGCATAAGATCACACAGTAGGAGCATGCTATATTTTATTCAGACACTTTCCTCTTGACTTTCATGTGGCTTCTACTTTTCTCTGCCATAACTAATATTCTCGTACATTTCTCCTCTATGTGTAGATACATTTGAGATATCTGACATTTTTCACTTGATTTTCTTCTCACAAAAATTCTGTCAGTTAGATATGCATTTTGTTTTTTAAATATGCAAAGACTTCTAGGAGTGTTCAGGCCATCACCCAAGGGTGTTAATTAGCTGGTGCAAGTTGCTTTCCTCTAATTTCTAGCTGAGATATACTATTTTGAACAAATGGAAGAGAAACAAGAGGAGAATGAGTAAAGAATTATTAAGGTAGGGACACTTGGAGTGATAGGGAGTGGCGGCAGGTTTGAGATACCAAGAAACCAAATGATATCAAGGCACTGATTTCCTGAGGGTCCTGTGCAAGGATGTTGGAGAACAGAAAATTGTCAAGGATTAGTTTGCATCTCAAAAATTATAATTCAGTCCAGTCCTACTTTCCACTAAGAGGAAAAGGTACGTACTTTCTTCTCCCTCTTCTACTCTCCTGTATTGGCAGCACCTCTTGTGCCTAGGATTCAGGGCTCTGATTGACCAGCATTAAGTCCCAGTCTGGGTTCAACAGGCTTTGCAGGATCATATGGCAATTTGATGTCACTGCAGCATTGTTCTTATAGGAAATAGATTTCTCTTTTCAAACAACTGATTTGATTTCAGCATGTATTTTTCGTATCTATCCACTTATCAGAAGAGCCTGCCTCTGGTTTTAAAGCTCAAATGTGGAGGACTCTGTCTTACCTTAGTAAGCACAATGAAAAGCCCAGCTTGAGAAGAAATCATTTCTAAAAAGAGATGTTCTGTTATGTATTTACTGCAGTTCTTATGTAGGGGAGGTTTGGTGTCATTTTCAAAGATATCCTGTTGCATTATAAGGTGCCCTGTCTCCTTTTCCCCCATAAAACAAGGCGAGCCCTTAGGGCAGCTCCTTAGAAGGTTTAAGAGACACAGCCAGTGATCTCAGTCCACCCTGGATGGCAGGAGGCCAAAAGAGGGGGCTGGTGCCCACTGCAGGGAACTGTTAAATTCCTGACCTAGTTTTTGAAAATATGAGAGGAAAAAGCAGAGACACGAATACTAGCTGTGGCCCCGTTCAGTAAGACCTCATTTCTCTTTTCATTTCACTTTAGCCACATTTGTTTGAGCAGCAGGTGAAGCGACTTTTAAAAGACTGTCATCGCCAAGGGAAGTCATCTGTTTTACATTAATTGTCCATTAGTCTCTAAGCCTCCATCCATTAAAATCCTCAGCCACTCATTATGAATATTGTGCCTGAGTCCTGCTGTCAGCCTTTCATTGCAGAGCTGTTTTTCTGCATCTGACTTAATTACTCTAAGTGCCTGTTCCTTTGAGCGTACCAATTAATGCTAACTTTCTTTCCTTGCTAGGTTGAACAGAGAAACCAAGGTGAGGACAGTTCGGCTGCTGTTTACTCTAATTTATTAGAGACCTTTCTGCCACAAGCTCACACAGTGGATACCTTATATCCACACTGCTGTGCTTGCCTGAGGACTTCTACATATGTTTTGAATAGACTTGTTTTTCTATAGAGAATATGCGCCATAAATTTACAATCCACCCATGTTATTGTGATGAGGGGTTTAAATTTCATTTGTTCCCTATTAGTTTAGACACGCACTTTTTAAATGTATGTGGCAATCTGAACAACAGCTTGGATGAAATTGACTTTGTTGATAGAAAAATTAAGCTTTCATCCTTTCTAATTACAGCTTGAGGGGTGGCAGTAGTACAATAATTTAATTACTGTAGCTCCCTTAATATAACCAACTCACCTACGTTTAGCCCTGTGGCTGCTGTTGGGAAAAAAACAAATTTAAATAGAGGAAGAGAAAAACTCATTAAAGTAACTAGGAGTAGCTTCTAGAAGTTTTGGAGGCAAATGAAACTATTATGTAGGACTCAGAGAAACAGATTAACAAATTATCCTCAATGCTTTTATAAAAGCGTAAGAAAACAACCATTCAATCAGATTTCTTTTAAAATTTGTACCATGTTCTCCCTGATCAATACTGAATTTTATATATTTTATTAATATTAAAACAGCCAATCAATTAATATAAATTCTTTTTCAAGATATTCTGATAATATATCTATTCATTCAGATTCTGATTGACTATTGACCTTAATTGAATTTATTACAGATTTTAAAACTGTTACCATGGTTTAGTTCCATCTTATAACTGAGGTTGTTAATAAATATCCTTGTTAGTATAAGGTACTTATAAGTACTTGTTGATTTGCTTGATTATCTCTAAGCAATGCTCCACTCCAGCAACTCACATACACAATGTATGCAGAGGGATTTAAATTACAGGATATAATCAAAGTTTAAGACTGAATTTTGTCTTTCTTATTTCTTGAGGATTGTTAGGAAAATATCCATTTTTGACATAAACTATTCAGACAAAAATCAGCGACCACTGTGGGAAACACTTAAAATAGGTGAAGTCTGTCTCTGAGGCCCTAAGCCTTTTTCGCAAGAGGGCCCTAATTTGGCAGTACCTGCTCCTGAACTTTGTCTTCTTCTCTTACCATCTGGGGGCCAATCCTATATTTCATATATATGGCCCTGGTCAGTAACATGCTTTTAGCAAATCGTTATTGAAATTTAGGATTGTGACCATTTTAGAGGGTTATCCTCTTCGCCCTCATTATTTTCATCCTCAACTTTTCTGGACACAGTCTTGTACAGAACTTGGAGTGGTCCTTCCCCACCCAGATGGTGACCTTTGTCTTCTTGATGGGTCAGCATCCCTGAGAGAAATTGCTTCTGCACCATGAGCACAAACAGTGGCTTAATCCATTTTTACAGAGGGAAATTTTGTATCACTCTTAAGTAATCCTCTAGTTTATTTCTTGAACACACCTTTAATACTTCACCCCATTGATAGAACACTCTTAAAAATCCTACCAGCTTTTTTTTTCCCAACAGTTCTCAGAGCTTAGAAAATTCAAAACTACAGTCTAAAAATTCATTGACAGACATTAGACATTTTTATTTTCATTTTTTTATTTTGAGATAGAGTATCATTAATTTGCTTAGGGCCTCGATAAGTTGCTGAGGCTCCTACCGCATTCTCCCAAACAGCTGGGATTATAGGCATGCACTACTACGTCTAGCCACTTTGTTTTCTATTTTAATTTTTTTTTCAAAATTTCACCTGTTTCCTAAGGGATCCTGGGGTAAAGTGAGGAATTTATTTAGGTATAAAATGAAACACATAGGCAGCATTACCCGAAGTGGTTTATGCACATTAATCTTGCCATATTCTACTTTGTAGTCTGTGATCAAATAAGTTCAAGTAGCTGTGAATATAATGTGCCTTTTTGAACAATTTATGACACCATTTCAAAAAGCTCAGTGAGGTCCTGAACCAAATCGGCCTGTTTAACTTGTTTTATCCAGCATTTCTCTAACATAGTCAACAGAAGAGCCACTGTATTTTTTGCAGAAAACCTAATAACATCTAGAAAACAATGGGGCAGATCGTCTCCAGGTGTCCCAGGTCTGGCATTGTGTCATCCTATAGAAAAGTGTTTATAGGCATATCATTGGTGGCAAGAATACTTTCTTGTTGCCCATCAATATTGAAGCCCAGGGAGCTCAGTGCAACAATGGAATTCTATTTCTGTGCCCTAAGTACAGTGATGAGCTATTTTTCTGATCCTAACATTGGGGTATAAAGAAGTAGTACTCTCATTAAGATCAGGATTGAAAGTAGATTTCTGGAAACAGTTGAACATAATTTCCATAGAGTGTTATGGTTTGGATCTTAAATGTCTCTCAAAGGCTCAGATGCTCCGAGCCTCTGGCCATTGGAAGGTGATGAAACTTTTAGGAGGGGAGGCCTGGTGGAAAGATTAGTCAGGGCATGCATTTGAAAGAGAATCTCTTTCTTTTTGCTTCCCAGATACCATGAGGTAAGCGACTTTGCTGTACCACATGCTACCCATCAGGATGTTCTGACTCGCCACAGCTCCCCAAACAACAAAGCCTACAGAGTATGGACTAAACCCCCCCCAAATCATGAACCAAAATAAACCTTTTTGCCTTTATCGTTGTTTGTCTGGGGCATGTTGTCACAGTGACAGAAAGCTGACTTACATAGTATAATACAATTGAATTCAAACATAGTTGAGTGCTGCAGTGCAAAATAAGATGGGGAGTTCTACAGAAATTCCCCAAAGACCTGTAATTCTCATTAACAACATGGTGCCAGCAAGTCCTAGAGTCCCGCTCAGATTCTTTTTTTCTTTGGGGGGGGGGGCGTGGTACAGGGATTACTAGGAATTGAACTCAGGGACACTCGACCACTGAGCTACATCCCCAGCCCTATTTTGTATTTTACTTAGAGACAGGGTCTCACTGAGTTGCTTAGGCTTAGCTCTCACTTATGCTGAGGCTGGCTTTGAACTCCTGAGCCACTGGGATTATAGGCATATGACACCACGCTGGCCCAGCTTCTTATTACAATAAATATCTGCCCTTTTGGATCAGTTTTAGAGAAAACTACATGTATCTTTGTGGAGAGCCACTCTGGAAATACATGTCATTGAGTCCTGAGCAAGAGATACTGAACAATTATTGCACCTGCAATAACTTAGGCTTTACCTCCGCTGGGATAATGAGGTGTGGCTCCAGGTGTAGACGTTACCTGGTGGGGTTGATTTACACTCACCTGTTCCTTTGTAATCCTATCCCTTGCTCCCCCTTTTTTGGATAGAATGTTCTAAGAAACAGCATCCCCCAATAAAAGCCAACCTCAGAACTTGTGCTACCTCTCTCTTGTCAGCCTTTTGTGACTTTCTCTTGTCCTCCTTGTGGGAGCCTGAGACTGGGAGCTAGGGAAGCTGTCCTGAAGCTCATAGAAAAAGGTATTTGGTGTCCTGTGGTCTTTTTGTGTCACCCCAAATTCACACAAGTGACTTTGGTACAGTTGCCTGAGTTGGATGGGGGTAGCAATCCTCTCCTTATTTCTTATTGCCATAAACATAGCATCAGACACCCGTCCCATATCACCATGGACAAAAAACTGGTTTTATCCCAAGTTCAAGGTTAAATCCTGGCTGATTTGCATAGTCCTATTCTTTCCAATGATATGTGCAGGGATGGGCTTAAGAGCTACTTCTGACTAACAGGCCATACAAGAGGCGTAGAAGGTTGCAGGGGGTTGAGAGGAAATTTTTCCTTACTTCTGAAAACATCAAACCCAGAAGTCATGCTCCCTTTTGGTCACTCAACATTAATTTTGTTTCTGGATGTCTCACTTGGGAAAGTGACAACCATCCTACTTCTACAAAGAGCATGGTTTCAAAATAGAACTGATGCTGAGGACAGCAGAGGAGAGGACAGGAGAACCCTGGGTCGATGGCACCACTGAACCTCTGACTGTGCATTCATTTCACATAGTTTAAGCCAGTCGATTCAGTATTTTTGTGTCTTGAGGCCCAAATTTCCAACTAGCAGAGGCCCCTTTTAATGCAACTATTCATGGCCATTATTTTCACTCTCGAATTCTTCCTGGATGTACTCTGTGAATGTGCAGGAAGCAGCAGAAAGCTAAACACTACATTTCTTTGTTCACAGGCCTCCCTACTCTGGTGCCCCAGGCATACATGATGGTGCTTCCCTAGCAGGACAGCATGTCAGAACAGCTCAGGGTGAAGTCATGGACAACAGCACATGCCCAGGATGCCCACCTACTGAGCATTTATTTGGCTGGAGGAAGATTTTGAAATAAAGGAAATGTGTGAATTTCTTTTCTCCAAAAATTCCCTGATCCATTCTTCCCTTGGCAAACACTTTTAGTCATTGCATTTATTTATACATTTAATGTATGCATGATCATTATTAAATTTCTACTTCATTGGGAACTATTTGAAGGAAGTGACTTCCTCTGTGTTCTCATATCTAACATACTGCAATGATTCTGTGGTAAGTTATGTGCATTCAATAAGTGCCTTGTTATTAGCTAATATCCCTATTTTTTTATTAGAGAGACACAAGAAAACAATCTCCCCCCCCCCTCCATCACTCAGGATTTAATCAGAAAACAGAAGTCTTTCTAGATTCTTTTTTTTTTTCCTTAGAGAGAGTTGATAGAGGAAGTGAAGTTTACCCAACCATTAGAAGGGTTGGGTAAATAAAGGCCAGAAGGTTGTTGTTAGGACATCTGGGAGATGTCCTAAAAGGTCTCTAGGGAAGATGAGGCTGCTGATATGATCAAGCTGCTCACAGTGGGTGTTTCCCAGAGGACTCAAAGAAGCAGAGGCTTTGAGGCACTGTCTGGAACTGCAGCAAAGAAAAATGGCCTTTCCTTCTGTACCACCTTGTACAGCTCCTGGGAGTACCTCTCACTGCCCAAATGTACCTTGGAGGCAATGGAGAAAGAACCAGAAAGCTTCCTAGTTTTTCTCTGGAGATATAGAAAAGAATGGGTCCATGTAGCACAATGAGGCTGAGTTGCAGACCATCTTGCAACCCTGCCCCACGTGTGATATAGGAATAGAAAATAAAAACAAAGAGCAGTTGATAAGCAACTGTTTTTAAATTATAAGATAATTCTGGCAAAAAGCATTTGATATGCAGTTAATTGGTGGAGTGCCTGCTCTGCAGAAGGGGAGACATTTTTTTGTCTTCTATTAAATTGTGTCTTTCTCAAAATGCACTCAGGCTCCTGGGGTATGACGCTGGAGCCAGATATAGCAGCATTGATCTCACTGACAATTTCTTTAGAAGCCTGAGATTTGGTGCAGCTTTCTGAAATCTTTAGCTATAAAAATTGATGCAGTTGAGTAAAAACCTACATATTTACTTGCAGCAGTGTCAAGTACATAGTAAGATGACAAAAACGATTTCAACCAAGAAATTAGCCATTTTCCTTCTCCTGATTTAAGAAGGAATAAATAAGTGTGGAGGAAAGTGTCAATGTTTCTAAATTTACACACACATGTACACCTACACTCCTAATGATCATCACATTTATAGCTACCCTAATTTTCTGGGATGAACCTGGGGTGAAGGGAGAAAGAACACAATTGACTAGAAGCCAAGTGAAGCAATAAAAAGCTGTATGTGTGTGTGTGTGTGTGTGTGTAATATTTCCAGGTGAAGCCAGATGTTTTGGTTCAGAAGAGAGGTCCCATTATGAATTCAGTGTTCTGGAGACCCCCAGAGAAAGATATGCAAGTCCCTTTAGTACAATATTTTTGAAAACTTCATGGATGCTTGCAATTTCTGCAGCAAACACTGTAATGCAAGAAAGCATCAGGAAGTCAGAGGCCCAGAAAGGCACACTTAGGGACATCTTCAAGGTTAAAATTTGCTAGACAGTCTGGTAAGTTAACTGGGTATGAAGAGGACAAAGAAAATATTTAAGTAAAGGAACACAAAGTAGGGGCCAAATATTCGATATTTTCCCTATCCCTCTCACAAATTAGCATAAATAATTGAAAAACCTCCATCTACATGTGCTTTTGTGATGGCAACAGTCTTAGAGGCTGTTGCTGACATTTTACCTAATAAATGGGGACAAGCCAACAAGGTTGGATGTGCTGCAGCCAGGTCAAAGCTGGGATTCTGCCTACCAGGGTCTTGAATCTGCAGCAAAGCCCCACTATATGTTTTAACTGGACTTTGCTTCATTCAGTATCTTCTATCCTAGTTGCATATTGTTGCCATCAGAGTGAATTCTCTGCTGCCCTCTCCTAGGAGTGGACTACCTGCTGGTGAGTTCAGGCCTGCCTTTGCTCCTGTGTTCCCTAAGAGGCGCTGTTCTCCTAATTTAGCTCACACAAAATGACTGAGGCATGCTGTGCATGTAACTGGCCCAGTGGAGGTGAGCACTGCCACACACCTGTTGCCACCATTGTCCTTAGTCCATTTGTTCACCTGAGTATGTTGATGCTCATGTTGCAAAGTGATATCAATGGAAATGGGTTCTTCAGAGTTTCTAGTGCTTTCTGCCTATGAGATTATATTCTCTCTTTTGAGCAGAAGGTCACAGTACATGCAAACATACTTCAGTGCTTAAAGATTTGAAAAGTCCTATATGGAAAAATTAATAAAATGACAAGCCTGACTGCACAGTATATTCAGAATTTTGATGTGTGATAAATCACATGTGTCATCCTTTGATTTGTAAATGTTAAATCTTCTTATGCTTAAAGAAGCCACTCCATCTAAGTAATACTCTCAGCTTTCAGTGTACCAATAATACATGTTCATGTGGGGGAAAATTAAGAGATCTTCCAGATAAAAAGATTAAATTTCGAGCAAAAACGTAACAATACAATATTCTGCAGCTTGACATGGTGATTGATCACATGGTGATCCTAGCAAATTGGGAGTCTAAGGCAAGAAGATCAAAATTTTTTGAGGCAAGCCTCAGCAACTTAGTGAGATCCTGTCTTAAAATAAAAAATAAAAAGAACCAGAGATTGCCATTATTGGTTTAACTTTTAAAAATATTGCTGTGGCCAGGCACAGTGGTACACGCTTCTAATCCCAGCAGCTCAGGAGGATCACAAGTGCAAAACCAGCTTCAGCAATTTAGTGAGATCCTTCTCAAAACAAAAAATTATAAGGGCTAGGGGTGTGGCTCAGGAGATGAGCAGCATTCCTGGGTTCAATCCCTGACACCAAAAAAAAAAAAAGTGCTGTGAAAATAATCATAAATATACATTATTTTTGTATATATTTTATATGTATTTTATTTTCATGGTCACATCTGGCAATTAGCACATGCTGTGTGCCCTACGGTGTTATTAAGTCCAGATTATTAAGACTCCAAATGTGTGGCAAATCTTACAGCCTAAAGATTGTTCAGTGAACACGGGATATCCTTACAACTCAGTCCCACCCATTCAAAGAGGAGTCCTTGTCTGTGAAGATATTAATGGAGAGTGAATAGCACAATACAAAGACAACGGAGCAATTTGTTGAGCAACTCTGCACACCTATCAGAGACGAGCATCATCTCTGTATGCTTATGCAATGTGAAAGGTGTGGATCAAAGGGAGATTAAAACCAGGAGAGGTATGCTAAGGGTGTGCTCAGTTCTTTCAGTAACCACTTGGGAGCACTGCTCCTGGGGGTCTTGGCTGCCACTGATAGAGTGTTCACGGCACCATGTGCCCAGGCTATTTTGAGAGCTTTTCATGCAGTGCCTAGCCTAGGGGCACTCTCACAACAAACTGAGTCGTGGTTAAAAAGAATTCAGGTGACCAGGTCTTAAATCCTGGTCCCACCAAGTGCTCCAGAATGACTTTAACGCATGACTTACATACCCTCTCTGTTCTTCATTTCATGGATTAATACCTCTAAAATGGCTAGCACATGTTTTACACTTGGTTAATGCTCAATGTGTTAAGTATCATTACCACTCTATGTGGGGATAGTTCCTGCCCACGGGAGCTTACAATGTATTTTAAGAAACCCCATAAGTCAGTCTGAGAACAAGCAAGATTTGCTACAGACCACAAAAATCAGAAGAATTATGGAAATTAGGAGAGAAATGAGGGCTTAAGTTGATTAGAATGACTTTAGTAGAGAAAGGAGGATTTGGTTTAAGTTAGAGAATGGAAAGAGATAAAGGGATGAACAGGCGAAAGAAAAATATTCCAATAGGGAAAAGAAGAAGCCAAGGCCTAGAAATGGCAATGACTGTAGAGGACAGAGGATAGAGAGAAAATCAGCCAGTGGGAAGGAAATAAGAAAAACGATATCCAAGGAGATGGAGAAGCAGAAAACAGGGTGCCATACCCGGTGGACCACCAACGTCCTCCTGAAAGGATGCTCTAGGGCTGTGGTTCTCAGAGTATGGTTCCATTGGCATCATCTGAAAATGTTTAGAAATGACAATTCTCAGGCCCCACCCCAGGCCCTCAGGATTGGCAGCTCTGGGGGGTGGGGTGGAGGCCTCCAGGTGGTGGCACACAACAAAATCTGAGGGCACCATGCAGTGAATGACAAGAAGGCCCTGATCCTGTCTCTTCCTTCCTGCCACTCTATGCCAACCTCAGGACAGGCCTACCTCCTTCAGTCTGAGAGAAAGATTCCCAGGAACAAGCAGTAAAGATAGAGAACATGTCCTTCCTCACATCTCCAGTCACTTCCAAATGTCACGTCCTGATATCCGCCACTGACATCTGGGAAGGAGTTAGGCCTTTCATTTTATTTGTTTGATTTTTGTTAGGCCCTTTAGTATCCCACAGAGTGGGTCTTGGGCCGTGCAGAGCTGGGTGAAGATAGCTGGTATGTGGCATTTAATAAGCTCTTTGTCTTCTTTTAAGAGTTTAGGAACTTCATCATAGGAAATATTGAAATAATTTAGAGTATTTTCAGAATAGAAAATAAAGCCTGCAACCTAATCTAATCCATTTAAGAAATTGACACTTGAGTGATGGTTTTTCTGAACCAATTTAATTCTATCAGCCCCCTAAAGATCTTGGTATGATCATATGGTTCTTATTTTTAAGTCTATTGATGTGGTGAATAACATTTATTGATTTCCGTATATTGAACCAGCCTTGCATCCCAGGGATGAATCCTACTTGATCATGGTGCACAATTTTTTTGATATGTTTTTGTATCCGATTCGCCAGAATTTTATTGAGGATTTTTGCATCTAGGTTCATTAGAGATATTGGTCTGAAGTTTTCTTTCTTTGAAGTGTCTTTGTCTGGTTTAGGTATCAGGGTGATGTTGGCCTCGTAGAATGAATTTGGAAGTTCTCCCTCATTTTCTATTTCCTGAAGTAGCTTGAAAAGTATTGGTATTAGTTCCTCTTTAAAGGTTTTGTAAAATTCTGCTGTATACCCATCCGGTCCTGGGCTTTTCTTAGTTGGTAGTCTTTTGATGGTTTCTTCTATTTCCT